GGGGCTGGCTGGCATGTGGTGCTGGGGGATCGAACCGCGGTCCCTGATGCTTCGCTAAGCTTGTTCCAAGTAGGTGCTTTAGACCACTGAGCCATCTCTCCAGCCCCTGTTCTGTCTTTTTGAGACAGGGTCCTGCCATGCAGTTCAGGCTGGCCTTGCGCTAGCTCACTTTGTAGCCCAGACTGGTCTTGAACTCACAATAATCTTCCTGCCTCAGCCTGCCAAGTACTGGGACTTTTTTTTTGGCAGAACCAGGGATTGAACTCAGGCCCTTACGCTTGCTAGGGAAGTGCTTACTCCACTGAGCCATCTCCCTGGCCCCGAGTGCTGGGATTATAGGTGTGCACCATCACACCTGGCCCCAGTATACTTTTTTTTTTTTTTTACAGTACTGAGAATCAAACTCTGGGCCTTGTGCTTGCCAGGCAGGTGCATATGCCACTGAGCTATCTCCCTGGCCCCCCTAGTTTACTTTTGACTACACTCTGGAAATGTTTTTATTTGCCTGCACTTACCTGTAATGTTAGGTGTCCACCCTCTTGCTGTGGAACTCAGAATGACTTACACACATGTAATGTGGAAATCTGCATTCAGTTCACTTTGACCAATGTAGTTTAACTCTTACTGCTTATTAAATGCTTTGCAAGAAATACAACAATATATTATAATTATAAATATGATGAAACCTTAGTCACACAGCTGCTGATGGGAATGCAAAAATGGTACAACTTTTGAACCAGGTAAGATGGTAATCCAAGCATTCAGGGGGCTAAGGCAGAAGGATTGCCATGAGTTCAGGGTCAGCCTGGGCTACAGAGTAAGCTCAAGGCCAGGCTGAACTACACACTGAAACCTTACCTGCCCTCCCCAAAACTCCAAAGATCTATGTACAAATATTTACGAAGAGATTATTCATAATAGCCCAAAGGTATAAACAACCCAAAAATCTATGATATAACACATACATAAAAATAAACTTGTGGTGATATTACTCAGCCATAAAAAAGAAATCCTGAAATGTGCTATAATTAGAGGAACCTTAAAAACTCACAAAACACACAAAGCCAATCACAGAAGAACACATCTTATATAAAAGCATTGATAACTAATGCCTAGAACAGTCAAATCTATACAAACGAAACAGTAGATTAATAGTTGCCTGGGCTGGCAGCTTTGTGTGGTGTGGGGGGGATAGCTAGAGTATGAATTTCTTTTTGAGGCAGTGAAATGTTCAAAATTAACTATTGTGATGGCTGCACATAACTATACTAAAAGCTACTGAATTACTTTAAGTGGGTGAGTTATATGTTTGAATATCACAATTCAACAAAACTATCATTTAAATTTTTTTTCTAAGATATGAGGTACTTGAGAATCAGCAAACTTCTCCTAGGAAGCTTTTCTGGTCAATGGTAAAAGATTTAGTGAAACTAAGTCTAGTTTACTTCATTGTAATTGGAACCAGCTTGTAATATTTTGATATGTACATTTCTAAAACGTGAATGTAGTTTAAGAAAACATTTCATTACATCAGATATTCCAGGCAGCCTGCCATTAGGTTTTAACTGTTAAAAAAAGAAAAAAAAAATCTTAAAAGGAATCTAATCAACTTCAGAGTATATGTACTCTCTTGTTGACTCATCTCCCATGACACTGTCTCCCTAAAACTTTCATATTAAACAGTACTGAGCATCGTTAATGCATTCACTTATGTCAACAAACAGTGGAACCCTTATTGTACATCTGGTTCTGCTTTAGGTGTGCGTGTGCGTGTGTGTCTAGACAAGAACAACTGAACAAGTGAAGTTCCCGATTTCATGGCACTTACAATTCAAAAGGGCAAGATAAAACAATAAGTTTCTTAAAAACTTAATTAAAACAAGGTGCTGTGCAATGGGGTAGCTTCTTTGAAAGATGATGCTTGTAGTTAGAAAAGGTTCCTATGCATATGACGACCAGGGGAGAGAATTCTAGACAGAGGAAATAATTTTTAAGTGACAGAATCAAGGAGGGGGGTGGTTAACTCTTTGATTCTCATTTATCAAGCTGGTACAAAAAAGCCTGGCAAAGTTGACTATCAGGCTGTGGGCAGGCCAAGAGATCTCTCCACTGTAGACCATTTAAAGGTTTCCCAAAGCTTCAATTAAAGGAAGCCATCAAAGGCTAAGCCCAGCTGTGAGCGATCTTTCCTTCCTCTTCCTGTGCCCTTCAACAAGTACCACTCATTCCTGCAAACAATATTGCTGAGAGGTATTGTGTCAGAAACCCAAGGACTTAAAAGACAGATCAGACATTTACCCAACAGTTCTTTAGGTAGGAATCTATTCTGGGAGGACAAAAAATGTAGTCACAAGTAACAAATACAATGATACAAAAGTAAAAGTGAACTATAAGAAAGAGCTATGGAGTGTAAGGGTAGCAGGAGATGACTGCCAGCAGGAGAATCAGGGAAGCCACATAGGGAGGGGGCACCAGAGCACACGATGTCTACGAAGCTTAATACTAGGACATGGAGGCAGAATAAGCCTAGCTGTTGCATCTCTAGCTTTAAATAGATTTTAGAACATTCTCAGCTCCCTAAGCTCAAGGAGAGAAGGCCTAATACTCTTCTTTTTCTCTGTGATGTTCAGCATAAAATTTTGCAGAGCTGGGCCATTTGTCTGTTGACTGACTGTAAGAGACGAGTTATCAATTTTAGTACTGAAGCCTAAATCACTGCTTCATAAGGAGCTTTTGGCTTCTGAAACAGATGATCCCAGGAACCTATTATCACCCATTCACTTCATTTAAGATATTCCTAAGAATTTTTTTGAAATTAAACAATACACATATAAACATGCATGTACAAAGTGCTTCAGAATATACACATATGTAAATATTTGTTTATATATGTGTTATGTGTAAACTAAACCAACCTTAAGTTCAGAATCTCATAGAATTATTTTATTATTTTTCTTTTGTTTTGTTTTGTTTTTGTATTTGGTACAGGTCTCACTACACAGCTCAGACTCATAGTGATCCTATTTTCAGCCCCTGAATTTTAGTCTCTGTGCTTAGCTAAGCAGGTGCTTAGTCCACTGACCTACCTATCTTGCTGGCCCTTCATAGAATTATTTTAAACTAGCACTGTTAAGCTGGAGATTGTTATTTAGAAAAAAATTTTTTTTATTAACGAAGCTTTCTCATCTGCCCTTCAAAAGTCACTTCCCATTCCCAAAAGAACATCTTAAGTCAGGAAAGCCAAACAACATTATTTTAGACAGTGTCTGAATGTCTCCAAAAAATATTTGATGACCAAACTCACCATAGAGAGCTGTCCAGGTTTGATTAATCACATCTAGACACACAGTTCCAGACCTGAAACAGATGGAAAAAGGGGCATTTAAAAAAAAAAAAAAAAATCACAGTTAGTTGCATTATCTGGCAACTAATTTTTACGTGAAATGCTTTTCATAAATCCTTTATAAACAAAACAAAACCCAAATCAGGAGAAAGTATAAGGAGGAGAATTATTAAGGCCTTACGTGTCTCTGTACAGACTGAAAAGGAAAACGGTGACTAGGTGATCAGAATTAACACTGGAAACAAAGGGCGAAGACCCACTGTGTGATTAAATGTGTCCACACCTTGAATCCAATAAGCAACGCAGATTGAAGACTAATTTGCAATATAAATAGCCCATAGTCTTTAAAAATGTCAACTTTAAAAAAAGCAGGCTGAGGAACTATTCCATATTACAGTTATGTAAAGAAGCACGAGCGATTACGACATGATTCTGGACTAAATCCGTTTCCTAAAAGAAAAAAATACCAGCATTTGGGAGGTTGAGGCAGGAGGATCACGAGTTCAAGGCCAACCTGGCTACATGGTGAGTTCAAGGCCAGCCTCGGGTAGAGATACTGTCTCAAAAAAGAAAAAGAAAAAGAAAGAAAGTACAGTATTGCAATATGCCAGTATATTAGTTAAAAAATTATCACAGTGCTAAATTGACAAATCTAACATCTATACTTTGCTTGTTAGGATGACTAATCCCTTCAAAAATTAAATAGCCAGGGAGATGGCTCAGTGGAATAAGTGCTTCCCTGGCAAGCACAAGGGCCTGAGTTCAATCCCTGGTTCTGCCAAAAAAAAAAAAAACCCAAAAAAACAAAAACAAAACAAAACAAAAAAAACCCAACAACAACAAAAAATTAAATAATAAAATGGCAAGATGTATGTATACTCATAAAGGTGCAGAGAATTTTCATGTGTAAGTTGTGTGAGCAACAGCAAAACTGAATGCCACGCAAAGTAAAAATTACAGTCCAAATAGCCATGGATTCTAAATACCACTGGGAGGATGACAGGCTTATATTAGAGTCGTTGAAAAGTATCAGTAGGGCCGAGGATATAGCTTAGTTGTACAGCACTTGCCTGGCAAGCTCGAGGTCCTGAGTTCAATTCCCAGTACAAAAAAAGTCACTAATAGCCAGGTGTGGTGTTATATACCTGTAACTCCAGCACTCAGGAGGCTAAAGCAGGAGGACTGCTGTGAGCTCAAGGCCAGCCTAGGCTGCACAGTGAATTTAAGCTCAGGCTAAACTACATAGTGAGACCTTGCTTCAAAAAATATTTTTAAAAATCATTAATAAAATACTACAAAAGGGGCTGGGATGATGGCTCAGTAGAATAAGCACTTCCCTGGCAAGAACAAGGGCCTGAGTTCAATCCCCAGTTCCGCCAAAAAATAAATCAATAAATCAATAAAATAAACTACCACAAGGAAAGAAGACAATTAAGAGTTGCTGACTAGGGCCGGGGATGTGGCTCGGTGGCGCAGCGCCTGCCTAGCAAGCGCGAGGCCCCGAGTTCGATTCCCGGTACCAAAAAAAAAAAAAAGAAAATAGTGAAAATAAGACCAAAAAAAGTCCTTTGGAAAAAAAAAAGTTGCTGACTGGAGCCAAGTGGTATAGCTCAGCAGCACAAGCACCTGCCTGGCATGTGCAAGGTCCTGAGTCAGATTCCTGGCACACAAGAGTTACTGACTACAATGAAACTACTCATTCATATTAGCCTTTCCTTGAAAAACTAAGAAACATCTTATGGGCTCAAAATAGTAAAATCTGTAAACTGAAAACTGGTCACTGACTTATGCCTATATAATGGAATTGAGATGTGGAATATTAGAAACATTCGCTGGATAGTGAAGGGAAATGGAGAATCCAGCCATGACAATGGAAAAAAACTAAGCAGTACAGTAACTCAAACACAGTAATTTGGAATACCATATCCTTAGGATTCTATAGTTCCAATGACCATTCATACAATGCTGCCTCCCATAAAATCCAAAATGATAACTGAAGTTTTGTATTTTTAATTAGTTAATTAATTAATTAATTTGGCGGAACCAGGGGTTGAATTCAGGCTGTTGCACTTGCCAGGCAAGCGCTTATCCTACTGAGCTATCTCCCTGGCCCCCCTTTTTTTACTTTATTTTATTTTAGGGTTTTTTAAGGGGGAAGGAGGGAGGGAGGGGGAAAGAAAGAGATAGATCTCCATTCTGATCAAGAGCAGTTGCTGCTAAAATGTAAACAGTTTTAAATAGTTACTTACGCTTCATCAATGTTGGGATGGAAAATTTTATTCATGAATCCTGTAAAAAGAGATGTTAATTAGCAGCAAAAAGATCCAGAGAACAATGATTCTTAATGTGTGTCAGTCCTTCAGAAATAACGTCAGTATTGGGAAAAGATGATGATGGTTATAAATCATCATTTACAACCTCAGATCTGAACTAAGGACCACTGAGCCATCTCCTTGGCCCCAACCTCAGATCTTTGGCTAGTGGTAATACTCTATATTCTGACAGCATCAATAAACTACAATAAGTAAAAATTCTATTAAGAACAAACTTTGGGAGCAATACGGCTTTTTATATCAAATAATCTCACAAAGCAATTGTTTCCTGAGCTACAAAGGCATATGCTCAAGGAGAATTTATAATACTAAATGATTTATAACTACTATCAAGATAAAAATTAAGAAACCTCACTCTGAATCTCCCACCCAAGAGTTTTATATTGTCCAAGCTCTAAACTTAAGATTCTACACTTGAACTTATCCTTCTGAAGCTCATTTACTTGCACCACTGGCTGTACCGTGTGCGGAACATGAATGCAGCTGATGAAAGGCTAGAGGAACACACTTCAAACCACAAAGGATTTCAAAAGAACTGTGACCAAAATATTTCATTTAATTTTAGAATACTAATTTAAGGATATGCAATTTTGATTAAAATTGAGGCAACAGAGAAAAATTTAAAAAAAAGAGAGAGACAAAGAATTTTAAAAAGGAGGGCTGGGGAGATGGCTCAGTAGAATAAGTGCTTCCCTGGCAAGCACAAGGGTCTGAGTTCAATCCCTGGTTCTGGGAAAAAAAAAAAAAAAAGAGAGAATTAAAAAAATTCTGAAATGACTATATCTGTAATGGAGTTAAGTTTCTTTTTAAAATATATTCCTTGAGAAATACAGATGTAACATTCTTTTTTTTTTATTTATTTATTTATTTATGTGGCCAGCTCAGCCCACCAGGGGGCAGGGCTGGCTGGCATGTGGTGCTGGGGGATGGAACCGCGGTCCCTGTGCTTTGCTTAACTTGTTCTAAGTAGGTGCTTTAGACCACTGAGCCATCTCACCAGCCCCAGATGTAACATTCTAAGGAGCTATTAATTTATTTTCTAACTTGAAACCAGTGATTTAATTAGTGTATATATATGTATATATACAAATATATACACACACACACATATATATAATATATATGCAAGTAACAATATTCTAAAGCAGAGACTCATCATTGAAGCTGACATTCTGCTGTCCTCATTTCATTTCAACATTTAGGATTCCTTTATTCCTTTCCACACTTGCAATAAAACCCCAGCTTCTTACTAAGGCAGCTTTCACCATTGCTGTGTACAGCCCCATTCCCTCACCTTATCCTAACAGTTTCTTTCTCTTTCATTCCAAACATATGTGATGATCAGCACCTACATAGCATCAACAGGACAAGAAAGAAGTAATGACAACATGTATGAAGCACCAACACAGCTGGGGGAATGCAAATACACAGGGAGAGCGCACACACACAAAAGAAGAGACCAGAAGCATGCAGAGGCAGCCACACAGGGGAGACAAGCTTCAAATGAGTTGCTATGAACATCTTTTCTTTCTTTCTTTTTTTTTTTGGTCTTTTTGAGACAAGGTCTCACTGTGCAATTCTGGCCAGTCCTAAGCTCACTTTGTAGCCCAGGCTGGTCTAAAACTCGAAGCCATCCTCCTACCTCTACCTCCCAAGTGCTGGGATTATAGATGTGCACCATTATGACTGGCTAAATATTTTGCCCTAGTCTAAATTCTTCTCCCTGCCATTATGTATTTAGCACAGGGTCTACACTACACAGCTCAGACTTATAATGATCCTTCCGTCTTCAGCCTCCCCAGTGCTGGGATAATAGTCGTCAGACTCAGTGGGGGAGGGGCCAGCGCAGCATGCGGGGCTGGGGATCGAATCCTGGTCCCTGTGCTTGCCAAAGCAGGCTTAGTCTGCTGAGCTATCTCGCCAGCCCACCCCATCTTAAAACCTTAAGACTTCTGTTGTTAGAATATTAGCGAATAGAGCATAAAGCTTCTAGTCTTTGCTCAAGTCACTCCAAGCACTAATCCTGTTTCTAATTTGTTTTTAAATCCTCTGTGCTAAAATAGCTCCAAGTTTCATCTCTTCCTGTCAAGACAACCCTGAGACTCTTTGGTCTTCTTGGCAGAAGTGAGCTGACCAAGTGATGTCACTGTTTGGAAAGCATCGTTATGAGATGTATACCACTGTGCCACTGGGACAGTTCTTGAACCACTGCCTTCAGAAGTTAACCAGAAGCTACCCTGTCAAGCACAAGAACATATAACTGGAGTGCCAAGGTTAAAAGATCACCAGGACTGGTCAAGCAAGGCACCTAAGAACTGTACACTGAAGATTCAGGCATGGATTCCATTAAAGAATAACACCTAGACTCCAGAAAGTAGCTGCAGCAGAATCCAGTTCATCTTCACATCTCTAATAATCTTGGGCTGGTGAGACAGCTCAGCAGACTAAAGCACCTCCTTAGGCAAAGCACAGGGATCAAGGTTCGATCCCTGGCACCACATGCCATGCCAACCCTGTACTTAGGGTTGGCTGAGCCAGCCAGAGTCCAGGTGTTGTGGGACATGCCTGTAATCCCAGTGCTGAGGAGGCTGAAAATAGGAGCATCAGTATGAGTCCAATCTGTGTAGTGAGACCCTGTACTTTAAAAAAAAAAAAAAAAAAAAACTTTTTAAAAAAGATAATTCTACAATGTTTGAATTACTTTAATGCAAAAACAACCTTGTGATGCTGGGTGTGGTGGCTCACCCCTGTAATCCCAACACTCAGGAGGCTGAGTCACCTGAGGTGTTTTAAAGTTTAAACTTCAGAGTATGAAGAGACTGTAATACGCTAATGGAAATGTTCAAATTTTAATAGTAAAAGGAGAAAAAAGGATAAAAATAGACCCTCAGGTTTATAAGGCATGTCAAGATCAGCTACATATAGAAACATAATGCTAATTCAAAAGCAAGGAAAGGGCCATGGCTCTCAGTGGACCTCGAGCCTTCTTAGGGAAGTTCAAGGACCTGGGCTCAATCCCTGGTACTGCATGCTGTGCTAGCCACCCCATGGCAAGCCAGCCACTAAGACTGGGAGTGGTGCTATGCAAGCCTGTAATCCCAGTGCTGGACAGGCTGAAACAGGAGGATCACTACAAGGCTGAGTGCTGTGCAATAAGACCCTGTACCAAATACATTAAAAAAAAGAAAAGCAAGGAAATATTCCCTCCTTTTTCTTTCTTTCTTTTTTTTTAAGTTCATGGCTGGGAATAGAACCCAAGGTCTCATGCATGTTAGGAAAGTACTCTACCACTCAACTACATCCCCAACCCAGGAAACTTTCTGTAGTAAACAGTAGTGAGTAGGAAACAGATAAGCCACTATCTGGTTTAGTTCAAAACAATGGTTTTACTATGTGAAAAGTGTTCTACCTGTTGCTAATATTAAGAATGAAAAATGGGTCTTGGAAAAAACAAAAGGATTCTTGGTACTTAAAATGCTGCCTCCAGAGCTCCCAAAACACCTAAGGAAGCTATACTGATGGCAAATATCCCCAGTGCTGACTACTGGTGGAAAGGTAGTGGCATATTTGGACAGCATGACCAGCCACTTTGCTTGGTATCTCTGAAGAATAAAAAGACACTAGGAAGCAAAAGAGAAGTCAGTGAGAAGGGTAGAGGGAGGGTCAGAGGTGATAAGCAGCAGGGACTCTTTTAGAAGCCAGTGGATTATTTTCCAGATATGGGAACAGTATTCACACCCTCAAGGTTCTTAAAAATATGGTTTAAAAAAAAAAAAAAAGGCCCGCCAGATAGCTCAGTGGATTAAAGTGCCTGCTTAGATAGAGCCCTGAGGCCAGGGTTCATCCCTGGCTTGCTGTGCTAGCCCCACCCCCAGGTATGTTGAGAGACCACTAAGACTGTGCGTGATGGTGCACACCTGTAGTTTCAGTGCTTGGGAGGCTGAAAACAAGAGAATCACTATGAGTCCAATCTAAGTAGTAAGACCCTTATAGAGCCTGTACTAAATACATAAAAATGAATGAAAGAAAGAAAAAAAAGAAAGAAAGAATGCACGCATGTACACAGGCAGGCTAGCTGGCTGGCTATTGTAGTATTCCTCATGATAGCCCAGCCTATGTTCTCCAGAGTATGCTTTTATCTTGCTTTTTTCTTTTTTTAAAACGTGACCCAAACTCACTGCATTGCCAGTTTCTCCCTCACTTTTCACTTTCTTTTTCAAACAATTACCATTTTAAAATATAAATTAAGGGGCCAGAGAGACAGCTCAGTTGTGTAAGTGCCTGCCTGGCAAGTGCAAGGTTCTGAGTTGAATCCTAGTACCTAAATAAATAAGGCAGCTAGTTGGAAGACAGTACCACAGTGGCGGGGAAAAAATGGGGAATGATAGATTTCAGACAAAATGGAATAGGAATCCCATAGGGAAATGAAGCTTCAACAATTTGATGCCACACGGTACCTTTTACATAAAGGCATAGATCAAGAAAACAGCTGTGGTTCAAATCTGTTTCTGAAATAGTAAGGTGCCTCTCTCACTGACCATGGCTTTGAGTGTGCATTTGGAATCAATATAGCTTCTATACTGCTTTCAATTAAATCTAAATTTCACATATGCTTATATCTGTTAATATGAACAACTAACCTGAAGACAATACTATGTAATACAGCAACCCTTGTCAAATTCCTAGTTTTGTTTGGTGAAGTTCTGTGTCACTTCTAATTTTTATTTTTATTTATTTTTAAAAAAATGTTGGGGCTGGAGAGATGGCTCAGTGGTCTAAAGCACCTACTTGAAACAAGCTTGGCAAAGCACAGGGACTGCGGTTCGATCCCCAGTACCACATGCCAGCCAGACCCGCCCCCTGGTGGGCTGAGCTGGCCACACACACACACACACACACACACACACACACACAATAAATAAATGTAATAAATAAAAATAAATATTTAAAAAAAAT